ATGCCGCTTTGAATTCTTTATTTATTTAGTTTTATAAAATAACAAAGATTTCTTACGACTCCTGAAACGCTACAATATCTCCATAGTAACTCTGGCTAATGTGCTGAGGCATTTGAGAACCATTTGCTTTAAGGTGTAAAACTTCCTTCATGTTTGACCCTCCTTCAACGTTTACTTCAAATTTATCCTTTGAAAAATTTGCAGGCGTAAAAGAATAATATGTAGCTGTGTCTAAGGTAGTTACGTAAGTGCCGTGTAGAAGGTCTAAAAATAACGGTACATGCAGAAATAAGAATTTTTGAAAGTTTTTAAAAGCGTTAATTTTTTTTTATAATCAGCTTTTTTGTGCTGAAAATTAATCTTGAAATAAAAGGTGTGGCTGTCCACAGTCTGGCATGCACAGTACGATAGTCGTTAGGTGTATATCACTTACGAGAGGAAAAGGCTGAGCTGGGTATAAAGCAACCAAAATCAGAACGACCGTTGCTGTTCGATATTGGTAACCTCCTCACTGCTGCTATTACTGTAAAGATCATGCTGCCTGTGACAATTACAGTCAAAGCTTCTGAGTCTGTTGAAGGCACATAAACTTTAGCTTCTTCCTCCCCCTAAAAAGTTTGGTAGAAGCGGTCATATAATTTTCTCTTCATAAATGTAAAAAAGAAAGGTTAAAAAATAACAGTCATGCATTCTAATTGTACTCATTTTCTTTAAACTTTTTCTTTTAACGGTGTGAAGTAAAAAGCTCATGGTAACGGCTATTTGTATAAGTCGCAGTATCTTAGTGCATTCACTTAAAATAAATAGAAAAGATAAAGTATATAGAATTCTATAGTTCTCGTTTCAGATAACTTCAAACGAGTAATTTCTGTTAATTATTATTTCGCTGCTTGATTCTTCTCGCTGGTCCATCTGTTTTTGTAAAGTGAAAATCAGTTTCTTAGTTAGAGTCACGAATACAACCGTTAAAGACAATAAATTTAGTTTTTAGTACTGTACAATTTCTTTCTCAAAATATGGTATTTTTTACGGCAGTAGACACTTATTAATAAGAGATTACAACAAACCGTAAGGTTTATTGTAAACTCTGTTTTACTCGTGCCAAAAAACACTTTCAAATGCAGCTCGACTTCCATAATTGACAAGAAATAAAGCATGTGAGACCCTCTCTGTGCAGGTGGGAGTGAGAATTTGTATTCTTTTTTCCACAAGGACACTGGTAAGACTGAAAAAGACATTTATGATGACAGTTATTCTTCAATTTTATAATAAAAAAGCAAAAGCTTTAAAGAGGATTAAACTAGCTTTCTAGTTGTTCGTACACTCTTATCAGACTAGCTGAGTACATTCTACAAGAACTTCCAGATGAAAGATTTTGTTTTCGAAGGAGACTCATAAAACACTGGTCAGTAACACTTCAGAGCTCAAAAAATGTAAAAACGTTAGCACACAAAAATTATTAAAAATTATAAAGTCTTACTTGTGTACGAGTCACCAGAATCATTGTAAAAATTATGTGCAACTACTGATATTGGTGAATCAGACACTACTTGAATTTTTCTATTTGAAATAGTTTCTATAGAAGGAAGTTCTGAGACCTTGTATCCTTGATAAACACAGCTAGGTGGAAGATCAAACTATAATTTTTTTTGTTAGTGCTTTTATAAGTAAAGTAAAACTTGGATATTTGAGGAAAGGTATTCTTTCGCTGCAAAAAGTAAGAGAATTGAATAAAGAAAAGCTTATGAACACTTGAACGGTTAAAAGTCGCAAACTTTTTGCAACAAATTTATCTCAGTTTGCGCTTTTATCATTTAATAAATGCTTATTAATACTTTGTTTATTCTGTCAAACAAAAAAAAGAGTCACTTCGCATAACTGTGGTACTAAAAATAAATTTAACTGAGAAAGAATCTCAGATCAGAAACAAGCGTTTGTTCTATTTTACAAGCTTTCTGTAACCTTACCATCTCACTAACTTTTTTGGTAAAATATTATTTGGCTTAGGAAGCCGAAGTCTGAATATTTAACTGCTGTTTATGAATAAAGGATATCTAGCGACTGGAACATACCGTAGCACTGTTCAGTGGGGAAACTGTTATGCGTGTCTCATTCTTCACGGAGGTTTCCTTGCTGTTCAGCGTATAATAAGTCACATTTACAGATGCTGTTTTACGTTTATCAACATTGATAAAATTGAGAGATATCTGTTGAGGAGATCCTGCAGGGGCATTGTTCCATGGAAAGACGGTCAAAAAGTTAGTTCCGCTGCTGTCTGCTTGGAAATAATTGTTGGCATTAGCAATTGCGGCAATAATTTGAGCTAAAGAAAGTGTCAGTTTGGTTCTGTCGTTGCTCGAGCGCTAGCAAATTAAAAAAAAAAAGAAAAAAACTGGTCTCACTACTGTCTGCTGTTGAATAACTGTCGACAACAGCTATTGCCAGAATACCTCCAGCTAAAGAAGATATCACTTTGCTTTTGTCACTACCGCATCATAAACAGAAAAGGAATAAGTCCTTTTTTATATCTGTATACGCAGCAGCGAGTCGCCAACTCTATTACTATTTATTTTATCCGCTTGTGACTAATATCATTATATAGTTTACCTAGTTCGAGAAATTGTTTGAAGTGTTTGATAAATACTGTTCAATTTTTCTCTTCTTCACTAAGCCTTTTATAAAGCTACAAGTTCAAAATCATAATAAGGTTACCCGCTTGAAAACTCTGCACACAAATTTATATTTATATTTATATTTATATTTATATTTATA